GTTTGTTTGTTTCTGTCTGCTGTCAGGGATTCTTCCTGGCAAGATGCAATAATGCTGGGTTATGAATATTTATGTCTCCATGGCCAGCAAGGAGGATTGCTTGGGTTGACCTTATGAGCCCTCATTTTCATCCCAGGTTTCCTGGGGAGCACATGTGCTCCTTAAGTTTTCTAACCTTCCAGTCCTGCTCCTAGTCCTGCTGTCTGGCAAGGGTACATGTGCTGTCAGAAGAAAGGCCTGTATTTAGGGGCTAAAGAACCTGCAGTGCCTCACCGAAGAGTAGATCCAGAAGGAGTGGGGCTGAAGCAGAGATGGAAGCACCAGGGGAGATACTTCATCTACTAAAGAGTGTCTGGAAGAGCTGGGTACAAGCGTACACATTCCTGGAAGCCTGTTAGCTCATTTAGGGAATATATATGCTGCATTTGAACATTGCTCTACAGCCCGGAAGAAAAGAGAAACTAATTTCGGCTTAAAGGACCTCGTCTGTATGGATTGTGAGTAGAGTCTGGAGTCTGTGACTATTTCTATTTTGGGGTATCCTGAGCCCTAACCCTCTCTCCCTTAAAACGTGTGCAAAAAAATTATCACCAAACAAAGACAGACAAAATGGAAATCAGTTAATCAGTAAAGTGCTTTGGGGTATCAGTGGGACGCTTTACATTTCAACAGCCTTGGATAGCTCATTAAACTAAGCAGCTTCTTAGGGGGTGAGCTCCACACTTTAGGAAGAAATAGTCAGATTACGTTGCCCGATAAGCAATGATATTACTTGGATATAGCAACTAGATAGAAAGGAGATGATGAACTCTGCTGGGGTTTTTAATGATGGTCATCATTAAAGATGGTATAAAAGCACAGCAAGACAGTTGAATAAAAAGATCTTTGGCTCCTGGTTTCCATCTGATTAAGATCTATATGTTTTCAAAATCTTTGTTTTAAACATTTTCTACTCTACATTTTAATTCAGTTTAGCAATCAACAACATATGGCTAATTGTTCCTTTAAAAGCAAAAGTGTGGTTTTTAAATGTTCTTTATATTTTGCTATGGAAACCTGCATTTAATTAAATCATTAGTTGATCCTGTTATACACTTTCCATGCAGTGTTGTGTATTTTATATTGTTTTGTTAAATGCATCATGCAAACCAGTATTACTGCTAAAATTCAGATCAAACAGTATAGTCTGACAGCAACATGGTATGGCAGCTGTCTTAATTGGTGAAAAGATGTTTATGAATGGAAAGAAAAAGGTGCTATTTATTTCAGACGTGTTTTATCCCTTCCTAGATAAATTCTCTTATACTGAATATCTTACAGAAATTAATGTAATTGTGCAGACATTAATTTCAATTCTACATGGAAAAAGGAAAAATCCGTTTTAATTCTTCTTCTTGTGCATTGTGTGTGGATGACAGTTCTGTTTACTAGCGGTTAGCACTTCTGGCATGCATCACTGGGATTCTCGGTTCATATCTTTATTAGGATCTTGCTGCGTGGAGGTTGCATGTTCTTTCTGTGCTTTGCATGGGTTTCCTCCCACCCTCCAAAAATATGCTGGTAGGTTAACTGGCTCCTGCCTGAATTGGTCCTAATATATGTGTGCATGTGAGATAGGGATTTTAAAAATGAACAAAACCATATCAGAGCACCAAAAACTGCAAACTCTGATTAATTTTTAATAATCACAGCAAACTCACCAACCCATCCATCCACAAATCACCAGAAATCACTTTGAAAAACAACCCTAAACATTTCTAGCTGTGGCCATCTTGAGTAAGGTCAGATGATTCATGTAGCCAGGGGCGGACTGAGCATTTGGTTACTCGGGCACTGCCCGAGGGCCCGGGGTCAGTAGGGGACCCCATGAGATGCCCCTGGTACCTTTCATTGGCTTTTTCATAGGCTTTTTTGGGTGTGGGCGAGGACACAGGGGCCCCGTGATTCCCTATTGCCGGGGGCCCCATGAGTTGTCATTCTGCCCCTGCATGTAGCATTTAATTCTTGGAATCCATCTGCCCTTAACTCAGGCATGAAGGAAGGTGAGTGTGCTTAGCTGAGAAAACTCTTCCTCCCCTCCTTCAGATGAAAGAAAAAAAAATGTCCATAAAGACTCCTGGTTTGTATGACATAATCTGGGCCTAGACCGGGAACGAGGAAGCAACTGAACAAATGTAAAAAAGACAAGAAACCAAAAAGTTAAAGCAAGTAAATATATTATACCTTTCTGTCTATTTACTAAGGCTAGAGGCATCAGGATTAAAATAATTAATGTTGAGAGAGTTTAGTTCTGTTTCTGATTATAAGATTCTTGAGCGCAGACTTGGTTGTGCCATATAAATTCATGTAATAATTAATTTCTCAATGAAAAGCAAGGGAGACCATTACTTGTTCAGTAAAGTCCTTCAAGCATCTTAAAAAATTTAGAGCTATAGGTGCAGAATACAGTTCAATGGTTGTCTGAAGAAGAACCAAGTAATACCCCCGTAAGGATTCCGTAAACTTCATCAGACTTTAAAGAAAACAGTACATAGAGCAATGATGATTAGCAAAATACTTTCATCCATGGCAATCAATAACACTTTACCTGTGATCTTTGCTCATTGACTCTTTTTGGAATGATTCCACATCATGTTTACTCTGCAGACCACTTTAATAAGCTCAAATATGTATACTACATATTTTTAGACTCCGTTATTAAAGGGAATTGATCCTTGACTTCTCTTTTGTTATCTATTAAGGTCAGGGTTAAAAACACATTTTAAGATTTTTTGAAAACCGGGTAAGCATTATATTTTGCATTTAAAGTTATGCAGTTTTATAGAAGTTATATGTACAGCTCCTGAAGAGGTCCACAGATTAAATGATTTTGTTTTTTTGCAGAGTCTGTCGTTTGGTAGCAGTATTACACTTAAGGTGTATTTTACACTGTTTGTTTTCCATGTGTATATGATAGTGTTGTTGAGCATTCATTTAATGTGCATTTATGGATTTTATGTTTCAAATAAAGTATGTATAGCAGTTTTCACCATTTGGAGTTTGTTTTTTCCTCTTTAAGCATATTGTAATAAATGATTTCTGGGTGAATTAGTTGAGATAACTACTTCCATATGAGGCAAATTTTCTGACACCCAGAGTCACATTGCTGGAGATTTCAAGTGATTTTTGACCTTCCTAGAAATAGGGGTCCTAGCATAAGAGTTAGCTGTTTTTCATAGGTGGCTAGTTGGAATGCACAGATGTATTTTGGACATAAGTGACAGTGAAGCAAGATTAAATGATTTTTATTAGGATTGACATCAATTAGATATACTACTTGTATATTTGAAATATTTTTTTTTTATCTATTAGGATTTTTCTATTCATGATATGCATTATAATTATTTGAGTTTCTTCTTTTCTTTGGCATATTTGAAGCTTATGTTACACATTTACGACAGCAGCTAATTTTTCATTTGTAGTTTCTCTTAAAGGCACAGTTTATATTTAAATTTAGCAAGCTTTGTCTGTTGTGCTCTCTCTTTAGCTAAATCATAGCTCTTTGGGAATCTGTTATCATGTATTAATTATTTATTTGTAAAAAAAATATTTATATGTATAACATATACATTTAAAAATTAAAAAAAATACAAATACAGTTTCCCTTTCTTTTTTCTTGTCTTTTTTTGTTAAAAATGGACTTAGAAGGTTTTCAGGTACAGTGCTCTGGAAAATTTGATGTTTTGTCAACAAACGATCAGACCTCTGATCATTCATCACCTGAAATGCACAGCCAATATTTTGCTATTCTACATTATGTTGGATGACTTCCCAGTTGCTTCCCAAAAAAAGCAATAATGGTTAGTAGTCAGCTATATCTATTAATCTTTTTAGGATTAACAGAAGATATGATCATGCTGCATGCATGGGAACTCCGTACAAAATAGTGCAGATTATTATTAGGGTGTTCTTAAATCAACATAATTGGGTTGATTTGTTAAAGGAGTTAGGAATCTTCACATAATATATTGTGTAAATATTCACTTTAATTATCCTAACATATACAGGAGAAATAATTAAGCAAGAATTAACTTTTTCCATGGTTGGATAATTTAAGTGAATATTCACTCAATAAGGATGATTTACTAAAGTAATTGAGAATATTCTGCACTATAAATTGTGTGAATATTAACTTTAAGCTGAAGTCTAGGAATACTAATTTTTTGAATTGACATTGGTCCAGCTTGGTTACCTGTAATCATTTATATGTCATTTGCGGACGGATGCAGGGGGTCTCATAATCACTGTAGTAGCCTGTGCCACATACAGGAAGCACATTCCTGTGATAGCAGACTACTGAAGCTACTACCACACTGGTACAGAGTAGACTAAAAGGTGCTTGCTCAGCACCTTCGCCATTCAGGAAATACTGTATGTTGAGTTCTTTTGAAAGAAAACAAGCATTCTCTGATTAAACAGAGTGGAGAGGAGTCACCTATATTGTTGCAATCTACCCTTGTCCAATCAGAGTATGTAAAGCACTTGAGTAATTTAAGTTTTATTAATATGTTCCTCTTAAAAAGATTTCAAACACATTTTTTTAATACTTCATTGCATGTAATTTGTTCATAATTGTTTACATAAACTGATGATTTCATGTACATTTGCACCTCTTTGTTTTTGAGAGGCTGGAATGTTTCTTCCTTAATTCGTTCCTGACATATATTCTCTGTTAGTAATTTGGATATCCTGCAAGAACTGAACTTTTCTTTTATAATTACTAGTTCATAAATTATATCCCTCCATAATTCTCATGAGATCCATGTATTATACTATATATTGCAAAATGCAAATCTGTCAGTTTAACCACCACCCGCCTGCTATATAGTAATATGACGGACGCAAGGCGGTTCTCTCGTTCTGGGAGGACATCATATGACGTCCTCCCATTCTAACTGCGCATGCGCGCGGCTCCCTCGGACACAGCGGATCACCGATCCATGGAAACAGCAGATGTTGGCTCGGTCATGTGATCAGCTGTGTCCCATCACAGCTGATCACATGTAAACAGGGAAAGGCCGGTTATTGGCATTTCTCTCCCCACGAGCTGTCACACTGACAGCTCATGAGGAGAGGAGAGCCAGTAATCAGCATTCCTCGGAGGGGACATGTACACAGATCATCAGAGCACTGATGATCAGTGTGCCCTGATGATCTGTGTAGCCCCAGCAGCGCTACCTGCCAGTGGCCATCAGTGCCACATCAGTGCCACATTTCAGTGCCCATCATTACCACATCAATGCCACATAACATTGCCCATCTGAGATGCCTTTCAGTGTCACCCATCAGTGCCACCTATCAGTGCCAGTCAGTGCCGCCTATCAGTGTGAATCAGTGCTGCCTATCAGTGCCTGTCAGTGCTGCCTATCAGTGCCGCCTAATGGTGCCAGTCAGTGCCACCTAACAGTGCCAATCAGTGCCGCCTATTAGTGCCAGTCAGTGCCGCCTATCAGTGCCGCCTATCAGTGCCATATATGAGTTCTGCCTTTCAGTGCCCATCATTGATGCCTGTCAATGCCCATCAGTGCCACCTACCAGTGCCTCCTCATCAGTGCCCATCAGTGCCACCTCTCAGTGCCCATAAGTGCAGTCTATCAGTGCCCATCACTGCAGCCTCATTAGCGCACATCAGTGAAGGAGAAAAATCACTTATTTACAAAATTTTATAACAAAAACTAAGAAAAAACTTTTTTTTTTTCAAAATCTTCAGTCGTTTTTGGTTTGTTTAGGAAAAAAATAAAAAACCCCAAGGTGATTAAATACCACCAAAATAAAGCTCTATCTGTCACAAAAAAATTATAAAAGTTTCATATGGGTACAGTGTTGCATAACTGTGCAATTGTCATTCAAAGTGCAACAGCGCTGAAAGCTGGAAATTGGCCTGGGCAGGAAGGGGGTATAAGTGCCCTGTAGGCTAGTGGTTAAAAAAACCCATGAACAAGTAAAGCTCAGTGCAGAGTCAGAAAGAGAGGCACATACTTCTAGAATCTTAAAATAGCACTCTTCAGCATCCCATGAGACCATTAAACATGTTAATGAAATAGGGGTGCCTCTCATCAGTGGATGTAGATGATGTGCTGACTTTTAACTGCCAACTTTTTAAAATTACATGTAAACACTACATTCATGGCATTTAGGGGTTTGTTTACTAAAGCTGGGATTGCAGAATCAGGCTCACTTCTGCATAGAAACCAATACGTTTCCAGGTTTTATTGCCAAATCTTAGTTAACCTCCTTGGCGGTATTCCCGAGTGTAGCTCGGGGTAACATTTCAGTACCAAGAGCGGTAACCCCGAGCTACACTCGGGAATACCATTCGGCACTGCTCCGGTATGTGTTCTTCACTTACCTTACCCTGCGCTCCCACGATGTGTCCCCTGCAGCGTCCCCGGCCATCTCCTTCGGCGGATGCGGCATCCGGCTTCTGTGTCCTGTCCCTGTGACGTCGGGACGTACGGGCGCTGCCAGCGGTGGGAAATTTAAAAATTTTAAAAAATGTCATTTTTTTTTTTTACATTTTACATAGTAAAACATTGCTGTCTCAACCCATTTCACATACATATTGTCCCTAGTGCTTTGTCCTGTGCCCCGCCTGCATTTTGTCTGTTCTTTCTGCCTGGAAACTGAGAAACTGAGAAAGCGGTTTAGATCAGCTAGAGAACAGCGATAGTAAATTAGAACCACTTGCAGAATTGAGTGATAATGATTTGTGGGGAAATTCGTCATCAGACACTGAAAACGATTTTGCGACTTTGCTCAGCAATGTGCGAACTTATTATGGCGCTATATGTAAAATTTCAGTGTTTTTGGTTTGATTACATTATTGAATTAAATGTATTATTATTATATTATTATTTTTTATGTATATTTATTAAATTATAATTTATGATTTTGTGTTTCAAATTTTATCCTACCCGGGATGTTTACTAGACTCTTGTTCGGACAGATTTCAGTGAGTTATTCCTAAATATTACAGCCTACAATAAAAAAACTACATATTTCCATGCAAAATAATGGTACCGCTTTCAGCACCAAAAATCTGAAATAATCAGACCGCTAGGGAGGTTAAACAAGCTGAGGTTAGAAGCTGATCATGCAGAAGTGAGCCTGATTTTGCACTCTCCAGCTTTAGTAAACAAACCCTTCAGTGTTCTAAAGCACTGAGTATCAATAAATGTGTCTCTTTTTTTGCCTCCTAATGCTGCTTCAGACCTTCAGTCTACTTACAGCCAATTCATTTTTACATGCATATACTTCAGCAACAGCTGCATGTCATTGCTTAGTGCGAGCTTCATGATAGTGGCAACGACAGACCTTGCCTGCACGTTGTGCAGTGACCACTTATTGTCTTCATTTCATAATATGATCAACAGGTAGTTTGTAAAATCTGAAGATTTAAAAATATTGAAAATAACTTTTGACATTGATTTAACAATTTTATAAGGGTGTAGTGATTTAATATGTTTACATCTAAGCTAACACTGCTTTTTTGCCTGTTGGCTCCAAGTGCTCTCTGAATAGAGTTGATAGGTTCATTATAAAGACTGCATGAATGGTTTAGATACATATTGAGGTTGATGCCCCAGATTAAATGCAATCTGATTAGGATAAGGTTAAAAAAGACAGAAAAAGCACAACATTTGTGTTCAGACCATGTAGGACAAGAATAGGATGGCAATTATTAGATTGTATATATCACATTTTATGAAAGTTGGGTCATTTAGTGGATTTGATTTTTAAATTGTTTGCAAAAATTAGATGCATGATAAACTTATCTTGAAATCCATTATTTAGCAGGGAGTATAAAAAGATTTTTGGACTCACCCTAAAATCATTCTCTCAGAGTGGAAGAGCAGCTCGAATTAAGCAACCTAGGGTTATACTGCCATCTACAGGAAAAATGGACAGCAGGCCAGCCTCCCTGAGGCTATAATACCTTCCAAGTCACACCTGCCCAGATGTAGCAAGCAATTTAAAGAGAGAATGATATTATATGAGGGTAGGGAGCTGTGTCCCTCAATGGAGGCCAAGTAAAGAATGTTACAGTGAGTGCAAAAAAAAATAACATTTTCTTGATCATACAGTGAGGGACACAATTTGAATTAATCAAGCCTAGGGATGTCCAAAAGCAGTCAAAACTGAGGGATGGGCACAATCAAGCCACACAGGTGAAAACTCTTGCAGGACCTTACAACCATAACTAGCACCTGTGGCGGCAGATACGTGAACCATGTAGATTTTAGAGAAAATATTGACTGCAGACCAGGTTACAGCTTTAAAGTGGTAATAAACACCACTTGGACACTTCTACATACTTGTTAGCTTATAATATAACTTACCTGTAAATACAAGGAATATCTCCTAAACATGCACTGTGCCGTCACTGGTGCATGCTCTCTGAAAGGATGGCATACTCGTGCCATTCCTTCAGAGCTCTTTGCCGCAGCCATGACTCCCCTGCACATGCTTGGGGGTGAACAAGGGTGGCCTGTGAACCTGGAAGGAAGACTGGGTGAAGATGGAAGCCCTGTGACAGCAGTGACAGTGTGCTACTGGAGGGCTTCATTTTAAGGTATGTCTTTCATAATCTTCTCATACTGTATGTGAAACTAGCACATTATGTCCTTAGCTTGCAAAGAGAATTTTTCTTTTAAGAGTTTACTGTTGTTTTAAGGATTTTAGGCACTTGACAACAAAAAAACAAAACACAACAAAAGGCATTCACCACCCAGTGTAGTGGGCTTTAATAGGAAAAGAAGACACTTTATCTCACAACGTAGGTCTGCACAAATGTATCAAATCTATTGAGAAATAGTGGATTTGGAAGCTAGAGAACCTCTTTTAAGATATTTTTGAAAGAAAAGCAGGGAATCAGTCTGTCTAAAAGAAGCAGTGGTAGACAGGCAGTCCTCGCAACATCCAGACAATGGAAAATAGTCTCCTTGGAGTAAACCATTCTAGCCATATTCCACAATTTTATGAGATAGCAAACCCAGGAAAATATTTTGAATAGGTTCAAAATGTGGTCTTTGAAACATTGACAATACAATAGTATGGAGTGGAGGCCAAACATGTGGAGCAACATGTAACCCCTTCAATGAAAGCACAAATTATTTTGATTAACTAGTGAACTTAAGAAAAGAATAAACAGTACAGACACCTGACCTATGATGGTACTAAAATATGCATAGAAATCCCCAGAGACTCACATTAATAAAAAAATAAATATTTTACATTCGATGATAAAATGTACAGGAAGAGGATTAAAGGATAACTGAATCCAACATGCCCCTATCTCTTAGAATTTGGGTTTCAACAGCCAGGCCATCAAAGAAAGTGCACAAGGGTGGTAGATGGGTTCTTGAGGTAACAAATCTGGTCAATCTGGTAAAAGCAACAGAGCACCAGATATCAGACTAATGATGTAAGCATACCAAACTCTCCATGGCCATTCTGGAATGCCTGGATTGCCCCCGGCCTTACACATTTGAAGTAGATGAGTTAAGCCCTTCAGTGGAGGAAAAAAATGTATCAGGGTATACTGATTCCACAACACCACCAGGGCATCTGTTTCATCCACTATTAGGTCCAATGTCTTGAAGTTAATCCCAGGACTCTCATGCAATTTCAAAGGGAAGACCAACATCGAGATATGTCTCTGCAGCATCATCACTTTTTCCCAGTGCAGGAAGTCCTTGACTTGACAGGTATCTGGAATAAGATCTATGTTCGCCAACTAATACAACAGAATCAACTAGAAAAGCTACAATTTCTGGGGAAATTGTGTGAAAAGTTCTTGCCTCCACCAGTAGTCTACAACTGTAAACATTCCGCCATTCATTCCTATGGGACCAATTTCACCACAAAAACACCGATATTTCATGAACCATTTGTCAAAACGTTCCACAAAGTATAGCACACCAATCGTGAACAATCCGCACGTTTCGGTATATTACTGTCTATGTAGTGTAAAAACTGTGGGAGGAGTTAGGGTGGTAAATTTGGCTGTAATAATAAGAATATATATGTTAGATAACAGTAAGTGGTCTTGCCATGCAAGAACACTTAATTATGACTCAGTGTTTGAGATCCATTAGAAACCCTTCAAGGTTCACAGTTGGATTTGCACATTTGAGTTGAAGGCCAAGCAGGTCTGCTCTCACAGCAGTACGTTTTCTGGTGTGTCTGATGGCTGGATTTCCCCCGAGATGAGCCTGCATCTGGCCATGAACTGGTGCAGGGACCTTTGTGAACACTTTTGGAATAAAGGTAAGGCCTCAGGGAAGAGCCCCCACTGATAGTGTCTATTGTTCACAGAAATAAAAAAATTGTTGGTAACTTTGAAGATAGAAATGGGTTAATAGGCATCCCATATTAAGACTGGAA